TACAAAAAGATTTAAATCATTTAGTGAGTTGGGCAAATAAATAGCAAATGGGTTTTAATTATAATAAATTCAAGTTAATGCATTTCAGTTATCATAATTTGAATTATAAGTATGATTTGGATAGGGATAAAGGGATCTTGGTTTAATGGTTGATCAGGCTCTAAAACTATCCAAGCAGTCTGCTGTTGCTGGTGGTAAGGCAAATAGGATTTTAGGTTGTATCTACAGAAACATTGAATACAACTTACAAGTCTAAAGGGGTTATAATTTCATTGTATAGGTCACTGGTTAGGCTACGATTGAGTATTGTGTTCAGTCTTGAGCTTCTTATTTTAGGAAAGACATTGAATTGTTAGAAAAGGTTCAGAGTAGGGTTACTAGAATGATGCCTCTGATGGAAGGGATGTTATATGAGGAGAGATTAAGATCTCTGAATTTGTTTTCTCTTGAAAAAAGAAATGTTAGAGGGGATCTGTTTAAAATTGTAAAGGGAATTGGATAGTGTTGATGCATCATCTTTTTTTGTATTTTAGGGTGAGAATAGTAAGACTATGGGACACAAGTATAAATTTTAGCAAGGTAGGAGTCTAACAGGGTGGTTGGCCTCTGGAAAGAGTTGCTTTTGGATGTTGCGGAGGCAGTAAACTTAAGTTAGTTCAAGAGAAAGCTTGATAACTAAATGAATAAGGGCTGGCTTTAAGATTTGTTATTTTTAAATTAATTAATTAATTTAATAGTTTAGTTTAGAGGATGGGACAGCTGAGATGAACCAATAGACCCATTGTTGTCCCAAAACATTATGTTTTGTTATGCTATATGTATGTCTTCAACAATTCAATTGTAATGTTTAGACACAGTTATGAATAGTGAAATTACTTTATAATATTTATGTATTCATTTTGCAGTAAACTTAAGTGAGTTTAGGAGAAAGCTTGATAACTAAATGAATAAGAGCTGGCTTTAAGATTTTTTTTTTTATTAATTAATTAATTTAATAGTTTTAGTTTAGTTTAGAGGATGGGACAGCTGAGATGAACCAATAGATCATTTGTTGTCCCAAAACATTATGTTTTGTTATGTTATATGTTTGTTTTAAACAAATCATTTGTAATGTTTAGACACAGTTATAAATAGTCAAATTACCTTATAATATGTATGTTCATTTTGCATAGATCACTTGTTGACTTTGGTTTATTGTAATATGCTGCCTGAAGTTATTGGAGGCTATATTTTCAGTTTATGACAGATTACAGCCAAAATTGAAATTAAGAAAGAAATTTTTGTACAGTTACTTTGATGTAAAGTAAGTATTTCTAATTTCAGCAAGTAAAGATCAAAATTAATTGAATTATATTGCTATTCAAGTTCATTTTGTGTATGCATTGGTTTAATGTAAAGATGTCAGCATTGCAAAATTAGCTGTAATGTTGTCATTATGAACATCTTGAATTGCCTTCAACTTATATAATGTAAATAGAGAATTAAATTGCTGTGACATTAATATTAATAACTTAAAAGGACAAATGTAGAATTTTTATTGTTTATAATGTGATATAATGCTATAAAGTTATAACATTGACAGATAATTAAATGTAATAAACTTTACTGCATATGCTTTATTAAACTTGCCATGCACAATCTACACAACATATATATATATATACAGTCATCTTTCATTTATTAAAGTAGGAATTGAGAATTTTGTGTAAAATGTGAGATTTTCTTCATTTAAGGGTATTCCTAATGTCATCAATATATGAGAGAAAGAGTTTGTGATATGTAAATTGTGTCTAATATGATAGCTCATAAATGAGCTTGAAAACTTGCATTTAGTCAATGCATTCTGGAGTTACTCCCAAAGTCTGTTTTATTAACAAGTTAAATATGACTTAAAACTTAAAGTGAAAAATAAACTGACCAAAATTTCTAAATATTCCTGAAACTACCAAAACCACACCTGTTAATAATAATGAATGCAGGTAATCATTACCCAAAACTCGTTTAATATACTGTAATGGCAAACTCAATTTTAGGGCCAACAGGCTTGATAAAAGCTTTGCAGTAGTGTAGTTATTGCATATTGTTAGGTACAGTATATGTCCATACAGCCATGCAAACTGAAACTATGTTTTCCAACAGTAGCATCCTCTAGATGTTTCATAAACTCTTATCATTGCACCTACTCTGTTTTACTGTCCATTCAGCCTGTTCACTTAAGTAGGTGGATTAGTATGTTTTTCGTTTTAATGGTTTACTTTAAAAATTGAAACTATTTGCTGGATGAAGTCCTTCCTGAAGAATTGAAGTAATGACAAACAATTTATCACCGTGTAATAATTTTAAAATACTGATCTTGGATTATGTTACTACCATTAACCCTCCACCTGTTCTTTGAGCTTTTCTAGCATTGTTGGCTCAAATGATTATATACACTTAATATGGTTGTCACTTGTTCATCAGATATCCCAGTGATTGTTGTTCAGCATCTGTTTGACTATACATCTTAAGGTTTTTGTAATGTAACCAGTCTTTGGATAGAAACAATGCTGCCAATTTAAATGTTGTCTGTGTTAAATTGTAAGGTATTGTGTGGTTTAGTTAGGGGTCAAGAAGTTAAGAAAATGATCCACTTCATGTTTCTGAAATAACTTTAAAATATATAGCAACTTATAATAACTCAACTTTTGAGCTCAGTTATTCCAGAGAATAAAGTATTTAATTTAAACCTAGCATTTTTATTAATTTTTTATGTTAAATTATGTAAATAAAAATAGATATCTTCTTTTATTCATATAATTTTAAAGGAGTAACTGGTCTAGTAAGTGTTACTAAACAAGTCTTTCAGGTTGTGCACAATAAACTACACAGTGAAAATGGTGCCCAATTTTATATAAAATTTTATACAAATTTTATCTAAGATACTTTCAGCAATCTGTTTATTAGAGGTAGGTTATTTTTGTAATTTGAAATAATTTGGGTAATACTGTCTCATTTGCAACTGCCATGCTCAACCAGTATATAACTTGGTTTTACAAAAATTTTTACCTGTTCAAAGTCAAATCCATCTTATGCCTAGATGGCATTTAGGATCTGGTGCTGAACTCCAGTTTCAATAGCATAAGCAACAAACTGATGAGAATGATGACACACTCCCTTTGGATAGGATGCCAGTCCATCATAGGTTAACCTGATATACATACAATTGGGGAGACTGGAACAATTGGGATAAAGTGTCTTGATCAAGGACACAACAACATGCCATGAGTAAGCCTTGAATTCCCTACCTCCTGACAACTAGTTCATAGCACTAATCACTGGGCTATGCTGCCCCAGCTGTACAAAGTACATGTGTGAAAGGTGTCATTCAGAAAAGATAAAAGCATGTGTTTTTTTTTTCAAATAATAAGTGACCAATAAATCAGCAAAAGTTTAAATTTAAACATTTACATGAAAAAAATTTACAATATTTAGGTAACATAACATTTAAGGACAACAAGGAACCTGTTGGTTTGTCTAGGATGCCCCATTCACAAAATTAAATTATTCAACAAGCAAAAAAAGCTAGCCCTTATTATTGAAATATATATTAATTCTTCCTTAAATTTACTGCTTCCACCACATTTGGAGGCAACTCATTTCAAAGGTCAACTACCATGTTAGAAAAATAAAACTCTCAGCTGAAGATGACTCCTACCCTGCCAAAATTTATATTTGTGTTCTCTAATTTCTCCATTAAATACAAAAAAACAAAAAGATGGTGCATCAATACTGTCAATTCACTTAACAATCACAAATGCCTCAATCATATCCCTTATATCTTTTTTATTCAAGGGATAATTTGAGAGATCTTAACTTGTCTTTATATGACAACCTTTACATCTCAGTTGTCATCCTAGTAGCCCTTCTTTCTTTGAACCCTTTCCAATGCTCAGTGTCTTTCTTATGGTAAGGATCCCAAAACTGAACACCATGCTCCAAATTTAGCCTAACAGGTGATCTATACAAGGAAATTATAACCTCTTAAAACGTGTATTCAGAACTTCTGTAGATACAGTCTGAAATTCTTTTTATCTTGCTACTAGTAATAGGATGCTGCTTGTATGGCTTAAGAGACTGATCAACTAGAATGTTAAGGTCCTTTACTTTCGTAATATTGTTAAGGTTATTCCCATCAGAATTATACATATAATTCAAATTATGATAACTCACATGCATCAACTTGTATTTTTTATAGTTAAAAGCCATCTGCCATTTACTTGCCCAATTCATTCAATGATTTAAATCCTTCTGTAAAGCAGCAGCATCCTACTCGCAGCCAGTAACACCTAAGACATTAATATAATCAGCAAATGTAACTAATTTATTGACCATTTCTTCATCTATATCATTGATGTAAATAAAAAAGAGCAAAGGTCCTAACACTGATCTCCGTGTTATCACACTTGTTACATGAATCTAATTTGACTGAATTCCATTTATAACAACTCTTCTGCTTTCTTTCCTCCAGCCACATTTCTATCCATGATCCAACTTATCTCCCATACCTGTAGAGATAATTTTTTTAATAAGCCTTTTATGTGGTACCTTGTAAAATGATTTCTGAAAATCTAGATACATCAAATCCACACCCTTACCCTTATCTACATAAGCAGTAACCTTTTCAAAGAATCTCAAAAAGATGACTAAGGCAAGACTGTCTCCATGTGGAATCTCATTGACTATTCAACAAAATGTTAAATTTGTTAAATAGCTTTTTAAAAATCTTTTATCAGACTTTCTATATCTTTTCCCACCACTGATATAAGACTAATGGGTATGTAATTATTGGGATAGATATAAGAAAACACTAACTTATTTAATTTGGTTAGAGTTATTGGAAAACTTTTTTTCTTAATTTGTGGTTAGCATAGTTTTTGAACTTAGTAAATAAAAACATTCTTATCCCTTTAAGACTGTTCAAAATAGCTGAATAAATTAGCTTGTTATGAAATTGTTTTTAGGAATATGAAGAAGTGCGGCAGCAGTATGTCCAAGAGAAAGAAAAGAAAGATGTTTTAAACAAAAAAATTAAATACTTGCGTGACAAGAATACCCCCTTAGAAAAAAAATTGAGTGATGCCAGCGGGAAAGTACAAGAACTGGATAGTGGCATAACCATACTGGTATGTTTGCCATATATATATATATATATATGTTAAAAGCTGGTTTGTTTTATTTAAAAGTAAGTACTGGCTAGTGACATAAGCATACTGGTATCGTTGTCATGTGTGTTTATAGATCTTTTATTTAAAAGTGCAAGAACTAGATAGTGACATAAGCATACTTATGTGTTTATAGATGTTTTATTTAAAAGTTACTAAAACTGATGAATCATGTATTAACAACTTCTGTGTCTGAAAATTGTAAATACTTATAAAAGAAAATAGAACACAGAAAATAAATTGTGGTAGCAAAAAAAAGATGATTTTAATTATAAAGACCTTATATCACATACTCATAATATATCTTGAAAGATTAATGAGCTTGGATTCAACTCTGGTAATATGATATTTATTTTTCATGTTTACACCATATTTTGAATATTTTGGCATTATTCTGTTATCAGGTTATTGTATATGCTGGCACAGCCAAGTTTCAAACTAGAGAACTTACCTGGATTTTATATTTTTATATTTTCTTTCTACTGATTGCAAGTATATGAACCTACTCACACTATACTTTTATCTCTTTATCTTATATAATTTGCAAACCATGGTGTCTTTTCGAGTGTTTGTCTGTTTCCTGTTTATGGTGGCCACTTCTCGTGCTGTGTTTGAAAAGCAGCACTCGCAGACAAAGCTCAACATTAACTTTTGAAATGATGAGAGAACAAGCATGAATAATGATGATGCAAAATTTTATTTCACAAGCAGAATAGTCTACACTAAATTGTTAGGAATTAAACACAGTATCATTCACAATTTAAAATGAGACTTAGCTGAAATAATAAAAATTAGATTTACCATATGTTATTGTTGAGAGGCTCTTTTTCGTAACAAAGTACATGAAATAATTTAAATTGGAAGGTTAACTTCAACTTTTCCCATCACTGGAGATGGGTATTTTTGCTTGTTGGTTGATATTGCATTATGTGCAAAATCTTCTTCATTAGACAAAACAAAATGAAATGACTGGGAAATTCCTTTTATTTTTTAGCTTTAGTCACTTGTATTTCTTGGTTTGGAGCTAATATCTCAGTTGATGAACCTCATCTTGTTATATTTTTCTCTTGATAGTTAAAATGTTAACTCACATTTGCATTCTGTTGTGCTTTTTTCCCTCTTCAGCCTTAGTGTGTTATTTTAGTGACTTGTATTATGTTAGAGATTTTGATTATGATTTACACAAAACTGAACACTATTGCCAGCTCTAAAGCTATTTTGGTTTCTTTGAAGATTTTCAGAAGAATGTTGCTGCTTCATTATTTTATCTGGTGTGCTTACCCATTCTAATCTGGTTTATTCTTGGATGTGATAACTTGCTTGTTCTTGGATTGTAATAACATCTCCTTTTCCCTGGAAAGTAATTTTAATTTTCAAAGGAGTATATCATGTGAGTAACTTCTAATATGAACTTGCATCAATTTTGAGTAACATCAGATGGTTTTCTACAACATGTGTTTATTACTCTAAAGGTTCTCTCTCTCTCTTTCTCTTAGTTTTCTGTAGATGGAGCTACATACCAAACATAACTAGATGTGAATATCTAAAAGACAAATCTCAAAGAAATTCAATAATAAAATATTAAATGATGACATCAATGTTTCCACATGCACAATAATTTTATTTATATAAGGTTAAAAAAAGAAACACACTGAACATGTTCCGGTAGACAAAATGATCCACCATCTTCAGGAAACAAAGAAGGACAAATGAGGTTTGTTTATATGCTCAAGTAAATGTATGTGTACAACTAGCATGTTGTACAGTAGTGCCATTTAAAGAATCAAATTCTGATAAGGTACTCTCCCTCCACTACTACATATTTTAAAAAGAAACATAATGGTGAATGCATAGAGGTGAAGTTTAGCCGGCATTAGTGATTTATTCCCCAAGTATTATGAAAAAAAATTCTACAGAAATATAATACTATCTGAATAAGCCATGAAGATAACAAACAGACCCATTCTTTACTTCTTTTTTTTTTGTACAGATATGCTGTTAAGAGGCAGGCATGTACTAATGAGTTAATGAGTTCAATTAATCACCTAGTTCTACTGAGATGGGCATGTAACAGCCCTTTCCGACGCAAAATTTTCACACACAAAATTCATAAAGATGTATTCAGATCAAAGACTTAGAATTTCAAAGATGGGATGTCCTTTGTACTGAATGGTTATAGAAAAAAGGAATATGTATCAAGTTGGATAAACAGGACCATCCAGAAAGAGACCTGCACAGGGTTGTAATATTACCAGTACAGAACTGGTACTGCTGGTACTGATACTTGAGCATCTCTAATCATGTGACTTGAGCAATTAGAAATTTAACTATTCTTCCCAGTGTGTTCTCATGGGCAAATTTTTTTCACATCAAACCAAATTGTCAATTATCTGTAAACCCACATTGTATGATGACTATAGAAATGAACCAGTTGAAATCTAGGCTTTCTATTGATTATAAGTTTAATGGGAGTTGGCATCAGAAAAATCTCTTAGCAAATTATAAATTAGAGCATGTCAAATGTAGGTATGGAAAGTGGTTTCTGAATTTTCATTGATTGCTCTTTAGCCCCATAAGATTGAAAAATATATAAATATAGCTTCAGCATATCAATGACAAAGATATAGAGAATATTTTACGTTACATTTCAATTTTTCCTAGGGGGGTGGACAAAAAAATTCAGAGGAGGAGACGGCTCAAGAATGAATATCCAAATTTTCACACTAGGGGGAATTTAAAGGTGTTTTTAAATATTTCCTTATACAATTAAAACTTAAAATTCATATAATATTAAACTTTTATTTATTAGCTATGGTTTGATGTCAAGTTTGTTCATATACCATGATAATTAAGTAGTTTAATTAAATTCTGAATGTAACTCACTAAAATGTCATGACATGCAGTTTGACCTGCCCACATGCTAAGGGTTAATCATGCACTCACCTACTAAATGTGCAATCAGTCATGTAGGCACATTCACATTCTCTTCCAGAGTGTGGGAGCCACCAGTGTCCCATATTTCATGCTAAAGTATGAACTCAAAAATACTATAACAAACATATATAATTCTGTGAAAAGCGAAGCTGAAGATGAGACATGCGATGACAGATATTATTCTCAACATATGATATACTATAAACCAGTACCAGTCCTGCTAGTACTAATGACTTGGTATCAGTACTAGTATCCACTGCAAATCATGCACCTACAATAAGTCATACTCCAACCTTGGTAAGCAAAGTCTGGTATCTTGTAACAGGTGAAAATCTATAAACACAAAGATCAGTGGTAAAAACTATCCGTGTGGCCTAAAAAACATTATACAATATAATGAAGAAAGATCTCCTCTCCATCTGTAAAAGTGGCTCAAGTCACATGTGCTGAAGTTGTTTCCATGCCATTTCCATTCAATCTCAAGTAGCTGAAGAATGAAACAGATATTCATACTATTCCATAAGAAGACCAAGATTAAGTCACCAGATACAGTACCTATAAATTTCTATGCAATCATAGTGTTAAAAATGGTTGCTAGGAAAATGTTGTCCTTGGACATGAAATTCTGTATAATCCACATTTATCCTTAATATCATGTTTGTCTTTCAATCCATTAATAATATTAATATTTATTAAGTGTAGTTGAGTAGACATGTATAAATTTGAAATTTACAATAAGAGAATTAAACCTATAATTTACCAATACGTGATAATCTAGTTTTTTGCTATAGCCATATTTAAACTCTATCGAGTTTCTGTAAAGCTGTTTTTCATTAGTAAATGATTAAACCACTTGATGTGGTACCATAGCAAGATTTCAACCAAGGTCAAAGGCCAGTATAGAAACAAAGGGACATGTTTAAAAATCAAGAAATGAATAATATGTTTCAAGGAATGATAAGCTAAAATAAAGGATTTCTTTGGGATGGATAGAAAAAAGCTAAAAAAATTGCCAAGTGGGTTGTATTATTTACAGGCAAAAACGATCGGCAACTGTGTAGAATTAAAAATATGATTTTCTTTTTCATTGGAACACTTTCATTAACCACCCCCCAAAAAATGTACATCAGGTACAATAGTTAAACAACTGCCTAAACATGTTAACGTTAGTATACTCTAATCCCTTATAGTGATGGCACACGATGAGACACACATTCGGCATGTAATGCTGTTTGAATATGAGAAGAGAAACAATGCCTCTGTAGCCACAAAGAATATCAAAGAAGTTTATGGAAATATTTTGAATGTTCGTAATTGTGAATGATGGTTCAGCAAATTTCGTTCAGGTGACTTTAGCCTTAAAAACTGTAATGGCAGGGGACCGACATGTTGGAATTGATATTGATGCTCTGAAGATGCTTATTGAGTCTAACCTAAGGCAACACACTCGTGAAATGGTCCTGAAATTGCATGCCTTTCATTAAACAATACATAAACATCTAAGGAATATGGGAAAACTCCATAAAGAAGGTGTTTAGGTGCCTCACGAACTCTCCGACGATTATCGTTTCCTACGTGTGAATGTTGCGTCATTTCTTCTGCTGCGTAATGTGCGTGAACCATTTTTGGACAGATATGGCACCATTAGATTACCATCTTTTTCATTCGCTACAACACTATCTTAATGGGGAAATGTATGCAAATGTGGAAGGTGTTAAAGAGTAGATCGACATGTTTTTTGCTTCAAAATCAAGTGATTTCTTTAATCAGGGCATTAACAACCTGATTGTAAGATGGAAAAGCATCATCGATAAGAATAGAGATTTCTTCATTTAATAAATGTTTTGTTTTGATAAATAAGTTGTTCAGGTTTTTTTCATCTTAAAAAAAGAAGCGACATTCAATTCTTGATGACCTAATACATGAAAATCTGTCATACATGGAAGGCAAATGTATTGTTTAAAATCTAGAAACACTAAAATATTTATTATTGTGTGAACATCTTTTACAAGCTGGTGAAGCATGAT